ATATATATATATATATATATATATATATATATATATATATATATATATATATATATATATATATATATATATATATGGTACCATAATATATATATATATATATATTAGGTGAGTGCTTTGGGAGATAAATGAGCGCGATATTACCCAGACATTATATTTGCGCGAGCGTGTCAACAACAATATCGTGTTCATTTTATACATTATACAGTCCTGTTCCCTGAGCCTAGCATCAGTCGGTATCATTCTCAGTTCCAGACTTTTGTCTTTGTTCTACTGCCAATCAATTGCGTTCAGCGAAGAAATTATATTATAAATACATTATGGCGCACTGTATACCTTGTATACATGACCTACACAGTTAACAAACACAAATGAAATTAAATTAGTAAACGTATTTATTTTTGCCTGAAATACTGAATTTCCATTCTTTTGTTGGTGGCGATAATTCAAGTGATATAGACAATTGTACTGACGGAAATGCGATCTAATTGACAGTAACTAGAGTATTTTTTCAAGAGTATGACGTATTATTATTATTATCGGAAGTTATTAGTGTTAATGTGCCTTAATTATCCAAATTATTTAGCGCGCACGTTTTACTACTCAAAGTAGTGAAGAATAGACTTAATATTACAGGATAGAAAATATTAGATTTCACAATAACATAATCTTATTAAAAGATGTGTATAATGTGTCATTTCCTTTTGCTGTCGGGTTTATTTATAAAACTAGCGTTATCGGGACAGTGGACTCATGCGTTCAATGAGCTTTCGTCGCAGGTCGTTTGTTTCATGAATTTAAAGTGAATATCGCGACACCCATTTTAAAGGGTTGTTCCCATCGCAGCCGGCATGTAGCTGATATTTCTCCGACAATATAATAGAAGGAGACTTTATATACAACCCTAAAACAAGGTTTATTTTCAAATGAATGTCTACCAAATACCAAACACGTGTATCAATGAATAAAATATCACATCGCCTTTAATTTTTCGCTGATATGATTACGCGTTAGACTGTCTCATTCATTAGTGTTCAATCTATCATGTATACAGTCTTAAAAAAACGTCCTGCAAATTTTATTGATCCATAAAGTATTACATTCAGACAGCTCTCAAGATATCTGCTTTAATCATATCGTCTTGGATGAAATAAGGTGGAATACCAGTCCCAATCCCGTACCCCGGGCAATTACAAGACACTTCCAAATAATTACACGAAATCACGATCTTATCGGCTGCAAGGACGTACAGAAGTAACTGTCTCCACATTTACATTCAGTTCCATGTCCATTTCTCTGGGGACGTGACCTGTCGATTGGGGGGAGGGCTCTAAAGGTCAAGGAATGTAAGCATCCTAAGGGCATTTGCAGAAAACATTACAAGATAATTACGGTTGAGTTGTCAGTATCAGTAATTAATTCTGTTTTGGGTTGCTTCTCCAAGATTGATTATTTTCAAACACTGATAAAGCTGACAGTGACGTCATATGAAGATTTTACACGTATATCGGTAATATTGCGTGACGTGGGGAAATAGACGTTTAGACGTTTTAATAGCGCGTCAATTTTCCCGGGAACGTTCGTTTGCGGTCGCTCCAATCGCAACGCAGAGTGCACACTGAATTTCAAAATTTCATATTTTGTCATATTTATTTTATAAATATGTGCGTTTCTTTGTTATCCCAGTTCGCTGTAAACATCCGAAACATTAAGGAAGTATTAAAGAGCATCTCCGCAATCCCGGGGATTGCACGAATGTGTAGTTGGAATCATATTTTATGAGCCTTGTAACTGCTAGTCTCTTTGTGTGTGCGCCTGCTCCAAGCATGTGTTGTTGGGTATCGGTTGTGTGTGTGTGTGTGTTTTGTCCTACACTCGTGCTGTTGGAATGTTCTACATACTAGAAAAGTCATATAAGCAACGTGTTTCATAAAACATCAACGCATATAGCTTTTAAAACGACTTCTTCGCGTAGACGTCTCCAGTTCTACAGTTTACACTAATTGGCCTGGTTGGACAACAAGTTTAGAACGTATCACTTATATCACTAACACCATGCGTGCATAAACACACCCAGAGATTGAACAAACAACTCGGGATTGACACTTTGATTTTGTATAAACCTAGGATTAACACTTTGATTTTGTATAAACCTAGGATTAACACTTTGATTTTGTATAAACCTAGGATTAACACTTTGATTTTGTATAAACCTAGGATTGACAATTATTTTGAGCACTCATAACCGTGACGACTGTTTAAAACATGCTTTCTTGACGTTTTCATGCGTAAATTACGCTGAAATGTCACCCAAACTGTAAAGTAACATCACAATTGTAGGGTATTTGCAGAAAACATTACAATATAATTATTTGTATCCTTTGTATACTCATGGATATGTACGATAAAAACAATACCGTACCCAACGCATTGTGATTGTCGAAAAGATGGATTCGCGGAGTACCACGAATCGATGTATCACACTTGAGCGTCATTTGCATACTGATATTCTCGCTGGAAATATTTAAACTTTATTTCTTACTTTTGTAGTTTTATCATTCCTAGTCGTGTTGTATTTTACGTCTTAGTTTTTAACTTGAAGACCATATTGCTAGACCTTTCTGTTTTAATAAAATCAAGTGTTGTGCCAATAAAAACAACAACAACAACAGCAACAACAACAACAACAACAACAACAACACACATACATAAAATCAGTATATCAAGACTTATTCACATTTCTACATTCACCGGAAAAACACAGATTGTAAGTTAGCGCGAAAATGAGATTTTGCGGATTATTTATGCGCTGTACAGTAATTTGAAATGAAATCAATTTTTCTCCGGCAGATCATCCAAAACATCTATTAAATAATCACAATTGTCAAAATATTTAAATGTGCCTAATTATTTACTTATGTTTTTTTAATTACTGTATATTTATCTATGTTTTTTTTACTTGCAATGCCTTAGTGTTGAATGCCATCTTGTTTTTCATGAATAATGTAAGTAGCCCTCTAAATTATCTATGTGAGAACACGAACGTTAACGCTGAAGGCCGGGTCAGTGAGAGGTTTGTTTTTGCAGTTCACACGAAGTGCGAAAGCAACTTTGATAAGAACACACGAGTTTCCAGGTTACACAATAACAGTAAACCGCATATTACGAGATTAACGTAATATTGTTTTATAAACGAACTGATCAGCATAAAACAGACGCTCGGTAGAACATTGTCGTATTTCCTAATCACTATCGATAACCATTGACGTTTGATTATAGTGCTTGGTTATCACAAGTACAGGGATAATTACACAGATGATTTCCTTCTACAGCCACTATGATACCTCGGCGTAAGAACACAAATTATACGAGATTACTCGCTCACGGGCTACATCTATTACAACAGGATTCAAAGGTTGGCTCTACAAAAGAAGTATGAAATGATGATTATCCGACCTGTAGATCAGCATTGTACCGTTGCCTAGCAGCAGTTTTTTTTATTTTGCGTCAGGAATGAATGATACCCGGTGTGATGGATACCCGTAGGCAAAATACCTTTCTTTCACAGAACGTATACATGTTAGTTATAGTATTATGATGTATCCAATATAACTTTGATCAAATAAATTATACTGATTTGTGAATTGGATGATATCTATGTATATTCGACGCCTTTGTGAAACACACAAAGGGCGAGATATTGATAGCATATTATCAATATTGCGATACCAGGGAGAAAAAAAAAGTACGCGAATGATACGGCTTTTTACATTCCGTTATATACAACGAATCTTTCACGTCGGCAGGATAGTATGACAATGAAATATTTTGTTCATTCATCTAATTATTTACGGTTAACGTGCGTCACGACAGCCTCGTACGGTCCGACAGTCAGGTTCATATTCATATCTTGCTGCGAAATGGGTCAAATCGAAGCCATTTTTCTGCTCGATAGCATGATACGTGTTATATGCTGCGATGTGTTTTGGTGCTGCATCTTAGTAACAATGACCGTGTTGTGTTTGGATATATATATATAGTTACGTGCGCCGTAGGTATGCGAATCAAATCAACATTTACGGTTATTCTTATAGATAATTGGCATAGATAGCATTGACGCAATCTGGTTCGTAGCGTGTTGTATATAACCAATTGTTGCATGTAGATTAGGATCAATGAGCCGACCGCCTTTTCGCATGTTCTTTTGGAATTTGACATTTGGTACGTAAGTAGCGGATTAGATATGTTTTACAGATTTTAAAGACGCGTTTTGAAAGAAAACGTATGGGCATGGTTTTTGAGCAAAAAAATCACGAATCGCTCAATTAAACACGTTTGACTGCGTGCTCATTGGTTGTCCTACACTTACAGCGCTTTCAGTTTAAGTCATAGCACTGGCATCCTTGACTGGTTTGCGCTCACATACTCAAAATGTCAATTAAAACGAAACGAAATATGGAGAAACTAGAATAAGTCACACCGCTACTACCAATCCGAAAAAACTTTTGTCAATTTAGCATTTGATCATTACGGATGACATCGACGTTACTTCTGAGTCGTTAATTAGATCGGGAATACTAGACGTGTTAAGCAAATATGTAACATTCTGAGGCTAACCTATTGCGCTCACACGTCACACCAACTGAGTTATTACGACTCCCGCGTATTAGTGCAGTAAGTCCGGGTATTATACAAATACGTTTAAATCAAATAATGATATGAAATGTCCTCTGACGTAAAGTATCCAGAGTATGTTCGTTGTATACCTTACAACTGTAAGATATAAATAGGACAGTATTAATAGGACGTGTCATGACTATTTAATAATAAACTTTAGTTAACT